CCATTAATTTAATTAGAAAAGGAAATTGGAAACCTTTTGCACCGCCTCAATCCCCTCCCAATGGCCAAGGCTGGGACCACAGCCCCTACCCCAATTTTCTCACCAAATTACCACAACTCTCAGATGTCAACAACAACTGAAGCTGTATCTGTTTCCCTACCTCACTTTTTTCATCTGGACATGGTTCAAAAATATCAAATATGACAGTGGAATTATCCTCCAGTTTAACACTATGCTGCCATGTTGCCCTGCATTCAATCTTAGGACTGAGTTTGGAAAATACAAATGTGTGCAAATGGCCATTTTTACCCCATAATAATGGGGGTACATATCTAAAAATATAGAAAAAAAATTTCACAACATTTCTGGCTGTTTGCAAGGGTTAACCACAATTGCTTTCAGGTGAATAGCGCTGTCTGGCCTTGGTACAGGTATATACACCATCCTGTATCCTTGAAAAACTTGTAGCTGAATTCCAAACTGTTAAGTTTGCCATATATGCTTGTCAAAGCATGCATTCCGCTTGTAGTTTTGCCATATCCTATACGCACAGGGGTCATTGCGTTTATATGGAAAATTCCTAGCCTGGTCACCCGAGATCTTGTTTTGTCGGGCCAGCGAATGCTCCCATATAAACGCAAAAGGAAATTGAGTGGGATCTCAGCTAAAACGGGCCAGCCCATGTACCCGGGCTGGCTGGCTCGCCGCATATAAACAGCTCCTTACATCGAACCTTTGTGTACTTATTTTTAGCAATCAGAAATTTATACCTAGCTGCATTTGCATTATTTTATTTTCTATTCTCGCATTAATCCACAAACTGACAGTAATTCCGCTTTTATGTGTTGTTTTATATACAACATTAATACATTTATATAAGTTACACTTTATAACAGCCAACTCTGTAATCAGAAAAATCAATACACATGCAAATAAACTGTTTATGCATCTTGATTTCTCTCCTCACCTTTGTTGCAAAATTGGACATAAGTTGACGATTTGAGTAACAAGACGATCCCCTCTTCCGGCTCTTCGAAAAAACAACTTTGGGGCTCTTGCCGGCTCGACTACATTCAAGAACTTTAAAATGACATAAAGTACAACTAATGCCAAGAGTAATAACGCAGGCAAATCGCTCATATTCAAGTCATTTATACCATATAAAGCAAAAAGACAGTAAACTGTAAACAGTGAATATAGCGATCATTTGGTTAATAATTAATGACACTATAAAATATTGTTTATACGGGAAGTGAAAAGTGAAATATAAAACTATGATATATGCTGTTGTTAATAAGGTGTGGGCGTGGCTCAACGGGGCAACCGGGGGTTAACTAAAGCCCTTTTCCAAAGCAGGGGGGGCTTCAAACTTAGCAGAAAATCAACATAACATAAAATATAAACTCTTTTAATTTTACAGTAAAAAAGCAATTAGAATTTCTGGAACAACGCTTTATATGGTGCGACTGAAAAAATTTTCCACAAAGGCGGATTAGACTACACAAATTTTGCCTAAAACTGTCACATGCGACCTGCTTGTCACTGACAGCTTACAACTTGAGTTGTACTGTGTAAGTCAAGCATACAACTCGCTTAGGGCCATTCCATTTAATATACCCCCCCCCCCCTATGGATGAGTTTTTTGTTTGTTTTTTTTTAAATATTTTTCGCCCAAAATATTACATTTACAAGGAATAGATATATATAAGAAATGGGCTAGGAGCCTACTAGGAGGGCCCCCTATACCTCTTCACAATATGCTTTCACGTAAAAATATTTTGCCTTTTCACGAGTCACAGATTAAGAAAATCATCGATCACATTTCACGGCTAAGTAAAATAAGCCCTTCACGCTTCACGCAAAAAGTATAAGGGGCCTGATCACGTTTCACGGCTAAGTAAAACAAGCCCTTCACGCTTCACGCAAAAAGTATAGGGGGCCCTCTACTAGAAACCACATGGCTTTTTTTTTAGGCCCCTAAATATAAGCTCGTGTCAGTTCGAGTGTTTTTCAGAGAATTAGTAAGGAAAAGAAGAATTATATAATACATATGAATATATATAATTATATTTACAAAAACATGTTATATTGTTAAATCTAGTTGTAAAAAGTACTTTTTAATTATTGATTTGAAGGAAGCATAAGACCTAGGTTCTTTATTTTTTGTGGGAAGATTATTCCACACATCTATGCCTTTATTGGCAAGGGTATGTTTGGTATAGTTTGTTCTATTACTCCTTTTGTGTAGCAACGAAGAATGTCTTGTGTTATGATTATGAATTTGCTTATTTGTCAAAAAATAGTTTATGAATAATTCTGGTAGATTCTGTAGATGAAAATACCGGAACATGAATATACTCGTTAAATAATAATTTATTTTATGTAAATTGCGTATTTGTAAGGGATTAAAAATTGGAGTTCAATAAAATTTGAACCCCTAAGAAAAAAGATCAAAGTGCCGACACAAAACACCCCCCAGAAATTTTTACCTTACCCCTCAGAAAAAATGCAAAGATCAAAGGATGCCGATGCACACAGCCCCTCGGAAACGGCTTTTTCAACCCCCCTCAGAAAGTCTCGTCCATAGGGGGGGGGGGGTGTATTACTGTAAATGGAATGGCCCTTAGATTGTCGTATACACGCGTAAAAATTGATCAGGTTGTTGCAACATTGTTCACTGAACAACGTTGCAACAATGAGGTTATCATGGCTGAACAACGTTGTTCAAGCGACAATCGTTAACAACATTGTTCCAACAACTTGTTCACGCTTGATGAACGAACAATGGTTGTTGCAACATGATGGAACAAGCGTCAACAAGGTTGATGAAACATGCTTGATAGATGTTGTCAGAACAATGTTGTTCAGCGTTGTTCATTCATCAGGCGTCAACAATATTGTTCGAACAGGCGTGAACAACATTGATGAAAGAACAAGTTGTTTTTAGTTGTTCGAACAACCGTGAACAGCATTGTTATAAATAGACGGTAAAATAATGATTTGAACAACACAAAAACTTGTTTTTATTGGTTGTTTCGAAATCGCTGGAATGCAAAACGGACGAGTGCGACGAATATCACGAGAGCAAGAAATCAAACGGGCTTTTACAGCAAAATAAATGTCATTTAAACTTTGTGGTTTTTTTCTGAAGATTGAGGGGAAAATACTGAAGAAAATAACTTGGTAAGTGTCTTGTTTTGAGTTAAGGTTAGTTGTAAAAGCTTAAAACAACCCGACCTTTTGATTTTAGTCATTTTCATAGTGCACGACGAAGAAATGCACACGCACATTTAAAGTTTATAGTACTTTTATATAGGCATTGCATTTTGATATTTTTCTCTATATTTTCAGTATATATGAAACAAGAAACCGCGGTCATACTGTAATAAAAGCCGTAATATAAACAAAACATTTAATTCTCAAAATATTGTTTAAATTTTTCCAATTACACTCTAAATTTCTGTCAGAGTCTTTTTAACTTTGAAATTTGAATATGTCAAAAACGCTATCATATCATATGTCCTCCGCTCCTTCCGAATCCGTCCCTATTGTTGTTTGTAATTAATTTAAGTTTGATCACTGCTATATATAAACAATTCCTATTGTGTTTTAACAAGGTCAACCAAATACTTGATCAGTTTACACACCAAGAATGATGTATTTACTGCATATAATATGTGATGGATAGATTATAGGTAAGTAGGTAAGAGTGCATACAGTTAAATAATTAGCCATTTCTCATATTTCCTTTTATTTCCTGGTTAAGCAGGTGACTATAATTGTCATGGAAGGTATATGAAGGAGGTAGCTATGATTTTATCACATGGCTATGGGGGATAATTATGACCATTATTATGCTCACATGTAATTACTGTCTCATTTTTATCCTTTTTGTAGTGTAAACTTAAGTATAAAAATAAAGATTTATGAATATGTCAGACAAATTATATACAATGGGTGATTACTTGGTAAGTAATTTTGTATACCTTTGTAATTGTGGTCTGTGTAGATGGAGGCTATTTTGGCAATAGCCATGCACTTAGACATAGCATGACCAGTCCATATGTGGACTGCCTATGTCTATTAAACATGATTGAATACCCAAATTAGATTCAAGATTATGATATGTCCCAGGCATGGATCCAAAAATGACCATGTACTGAAGTTATATGGCATGAGCCATGTAAAATATGGTGGGAAACATACAATTGGGGCTGCATCCCACCATAATGCACTAGTCAATTGAAACCCCAACCCCCGGGATAGGGAGGGGAAATTAACATTTTGACAATGTTAAATTTTGGACATCTCCCTGCTACCGGGAGAATATTGACTGTTAAAATTACTGTCCCTATGGCCCCAGCACTAATTTGCAAATTTTCATGACTTGGGAAATTTTCATGACTTGGGAATTGTCCTGGCTAATAAATTGACTTGTTATTTACCCTGTACCCCGGGGGAAATCTGCATTAAGACCGTGTTAATTAATCCACGGCCATTCCCCCGTTAATTCCCCGCCCTGTACCGGGGTTGGGGGTTTCAATTGACTAGTGCATGCATAAACATTGCAAAGGTCCGTTTTGTAAATTAATGGCACTATGTATTTAATCTTAATTTATAGGGCCTGTGAGTTCATATCTGGAATAAAATAGTGGCAAATCTACAGAAATATCACTGCTAAGGAGTGTCAAACAAATTCAGGAGGACTGAATTAACTGGATGTTCTCAGGATGAAAAAGAAATTGTTGACTTTAATTGAATAAACATTATCATTAATGTAAGGTTAAAAATATTGAACATTCAAAAGGATGCAGACAGAAAATTGAAAGTAGGGACTGAATTTCAGGTTAAGTGATCCAGGAATGGGGTTGGCGCCACCTCTGCAGGCTAAATCAATTGAGGGAGATCCCTTTATTTCAAGTTAAATGATTATTTGAATAAGATGCCATTCAGGCAATAATGGCCTGGTTAGGTCCATATTTTAATTCAAATTATTAAGTACTCGATTTATCCATCAACAAAACCCAACATTAAAATTTCCATCGAGTGAGATGCAACAAAACCATCTATAGTTTATTAATTATGTTAACCTAATCCATCAATTGGCAATGAGCCTACTTTAGTATTTTATATACTCTCTCTAATTTGCCCATTATATTTATAAACTGACAGTTAATACCATTACTCTTTCACATACTAATAAAATCATCTGGGCCCGGTTGTTCGAAGCCTGTGTAAGCCTTTGAACTACCGGCCCCAGATGATTTTATTAGTCTGTGAAAGATTAATTATTAACTGCCAGTTTATAAATATAATGGGCAAATATATGATTATGTACAAATTGCATGCATGGTTCATAAAATCTCTGTGATAGACTTGCTCCAACAGATTCAAATTCCATCCTGACACTACCTAAATAATAATTATAGAGGTTGCAGTGTTGCACTACCTTTTGCTAAAATACTGCCATTGTTTACCAGTATTTAATATGAACTCAAAAGTCAAAACACTTAATAACACTATGAAGTATTTAGATTTATAAATAGTACTTAGTATTTTATAAACCTTAATTGCATATAAAATAGTTTATAATTATCTTACCTTTGTACTTTTACTGTAATTATCTCTTTAGTTTGTATTTGTTCACTAATCTGTATTTTCTTATTTCAAAATAAACTGAATTTCATATCAAGAAGCGAAGTTTGTCTGTTTGTGTGCTTATTTAAAGGCACAGTTCAGCCTTCTGAGTGATGGATTTTATGGCGCATTACAAGACTTTTAATTGAAAAAACTAACTAGGAAAATCAATTAAGCATAATTCAAAATCAGTGAACTCAATGTTAAAAAACATTAGAAATGTTTAAAACTGTTAAAAACATTGAAATCACTGATCTTGAATTGTGCTTAATTGATTTTCCTAATTAGTTTTTTCAATGAAAAGGCTTGTAATGCGCCTTAAAAACCATCATTCAAAAGGCTGAACTGTGCCTTTAAATTTCTCTTCCCCCCCTGGAAAATGGCCACGAATAACAGCGTCGAAACCGATTGATATCAGGTTGTTTACGTATTGATAAAACAAGACTGTTCGCAGTTGTTGACAATATAAAACATCATTGATATCAGGTTGATCTCAGTTGTTCCAACAACGTTGTTCAGGCCTTGTTCGTTCATCAGGCGTCAACAACATTGTTCGAACAGGCGTGAACAATATTGTTGACAACATTGCTGCAAGTGGGCCGCACAATATTGCAGCATCCTGTTCAGAACCAAGTTGCAGCAACTTGTTGACAACTTGCAACAACATGATGATTTTTACGCGTGTATATACTTACTTGTCAGCGATCATCTATACTTCATGAAACGTCATGTAGAGTGATAGTATAATGATTCAAGCAGTTTAAAATGTTTACAGAATTTCGAGAGAAGAAATAATCGATTATCAAGGGATTCAAGTAGGTTTTTAAAAATAAATACAATATTATTTCAATCATAACTCATAGTGGGGCCCCCTGTGGAGGTAGCGTCCAATTACATTCATTTCAATGTTCGTACCTCTTTTGGTATTTTGTTTGAAATAAATTAAATATTTAAATATTTCTTTGTTTTCTGTGTCTGCAATTTAATATCTTGGACATTCATCATATTGGTCATTGACATTGTAACTACGCTGTTTAGTCTAGCATGCATCTCTATATGGGCCCTAAGAATAACAGGTCCCTTATAGATATTAACAGTATATTGTTTATTTCTATATGGGCCCTAAGAATAACAGGTCCCTTATAGATATTAACAGTATATTGTTTATTCAATGGATTACCCTAACGAAATAAAGTTTTTCTGATTCTGAAAGACGTCTAATGCGGTCTTGAGTTAAGACGAAATGTCACTGTCTGCAATAACACTTTTATATATAGTATATATATTCTTCTTCAGTCCTGTTAGTCCGAATCAGTGGTCCGAATACGCTAGTGGATATGGCGGGGCGGTTCCATATGCGCGGGGACTCCAAATCCGCTGTGTGCAAAATTTACTCTCATCAATAAATCATGCACAATACAATTTTAATAGCTAAAGTAGCAGACCTCAAAGTAAGCAAATGATTTTGCTTAAAACCCTAGCTTCAGTTTTCCCATTATTCGCTGCTTCATTGAATACGCGAGACACATTTGATTTGATAGAAACACGATTACTAATCAAATCTAGCTGCTCATGTGTGCCATTAGGCATTACTAGACATCGTATTTGTTTTCATACTTTGCCGAATTAAACTATAATGAAGATTGAAACTCATCAATACGAAGAACTTGGTTGAAGAGACTGAAAATGTTATCGCATAACGCCATTGTAGTGACGTTTTATGGCTTTCTATTTCATCGAGGTAAGACAGTTATTCTTCAATATTCTAATCAGTAATGAGAATAATTGGCAACACTGACACTTAGGTCATTTACGTCAGCGTATAAAACATTGGCATTGCCGTTATTATAATGTAGATCATCAGTTACAAATTCCATATATACAATACGGTTTCGAATACATTTGCTACTTGTTTGCCGGCAAAGATATATGGCAGATTGACAACTGATGCAATAGCCAGAGATATGATGTCAAGTATAATTCTTAAAATCTTTCTACACATGGAATCTTGTTTTGCCGATTCAGGGCTGTGTTGAGTCAGGGGGTCGTTGTATCTCCCTCAAAACTCTTGTGAAATTGAAGTTAAAATATTGCATTTTCATGAAACATTTTTCTAATCATGTATATTAACTATGAAATGTTAAATTATTTAAGACCTTGACTCTTAAAGACCTCCTGATATTTTTGGTAAAATACGGTCATTTTAGACATGTACAATTCGTTTGCGAACTCACTTCAGAAAACGCCAGAAATTGAAAAATATATAATTTTCTGCGAGAGGACCGCATGAACCTCAGTTATACCATCATTACACAATCGGGTGAAATGAGAGCGTCCAATCTATAGATGCTTCGTCCCTGTTTTCAATCAATGCAAGCAAGTGTCTTTTCCTATTTTTATGAAACACTGGAATATAACTTTAATGTGGCGGTGAAAGTCACATGATCAATTTTCTGTCTGTACAGCCCGGTTTGGGTTATTTCAATCGACTATGACCTATGTGACAGATATGTAGTTAGGCTATAAACAGTTTATACATCGACCTCGTATAATTCACAAATATCATTCACAAATGGAAACCAGGCATGTAGTTTTCTCTAATACTACTTTTAAAACCGCGGTGATTTATGAAATGTGTTACTGCATTCTCAAGCTCAGTATTTTATTTTACTGAAAATTCTTTCAGGATCTGTTGAACGTCCTATAGATTTGACGTGAACTTATTAGCAAACCACAAAACGTTGTTATGGTCAACCGAACTGACGTTAAAACGTATCTTTAATTGAGTAGCATAAGCATTGTAATTAGTTTTATTGTGTGCCTTCATTACTTCAGAAAAGATTAACCACTGTTCTTAATTTCAGTAGCAAATCTTCAATATTCAATAACTATAGTATATAGTATAGACTATAGTTGATACATATGTCCCTCACTACGGTAAACGGTAATAAATCGTTGGAGGCAAATTTATCCTATAATTGCATGTGCATGCATGTGTTTGTGCACCTTGTCTCTCTTCTAAACAACATATTATAAATCTCATGAACTGACTAGAGTTTTATCACCATATATTATTTAGATTACGCGATGGTATCCACTGACTCCGCCATGAACAATGATACAAAACTGAGTCGCACTTTGCTCATACGCTCTCCGACTCCGTCCATGTCAAGTAAATGGCTTCGCAAAAAGGCAACAAATGTGAATAGTGCGGTTCAAGTCATGATCTATTCTTTAAATGGTAAGTAATGTGACCATCCTGATATCAAACGAATCTCTTAATATGAAATTTTCAATTGGTTAACTTTTAGGAGAATAACTACAACACTGCGTATAAAATTTCGAAAATGTCGGATTTACTTTTTTTATAGTTGGCATTCCCAAAGATCAAAGTATAGACGTTAGACGATCCGCACTTTGCCCAAACAGTAAACATGAAGAAACCGCGTTGACTTAATATCTTGTGTTTGCCAGACTCTATTGCTTGTTGACATACGTTAACATATTATAGTTAGCATACTATGAAAATTAAATCTTGCAATAACTATATTATGAAGAACTCTCAGGGCTGCATGGTATAGAAATATATATTGCATTCAATTACATCATTTGCTTCAAAACAATATTTCACGATTATTTATATTTATATATATATATATATATATATATACTATTGAATGAAGTCAAACGACACAGATTGAAAGTCCATGATAAAGTCGTTGGAGAATTACATTTTTCTATTTTTCTTTAATTATATGCGCGAACATGTTCTAGGCATTAGCAACACATGCTAACACAATATAGGTATGTACATGCAGCATCACAAAATATTCAATAAAATAAAACTTTGCGAATGGATGAGCCAAACGTTATTAATTATAGATCGTTATCGGCTTATTTTAAGAACATTTGCATGTTTCAACAACTCGTAATCTATCCTCATGTCGTCCTAATTAGTAATATGCTGCTTAATTTTTTATCGATAAGAGTAGTTTTCATACTGTATGATCAAAACAATGTAAATTGGACCTATTAAAGGTGCAGGTTTGCTGGTAGAATGTATGCCATGTTGAGAGAAAGCTATTCTATATAAGTTATAGTTGATCGATTGAGTAAGTTGATTGAATATAAAATTAGGTTAACCGCAATTTAGGACTGCTTTATCTGCTCTTCTCTTAATTTCGCCCATCCAATCACACAGCTGAGTGAAGGACACATTGAAGAATTGTCGCAGATTTCGTGTTGACAAAAACACATGTCCTCAAACAATGATTTTGGACAATGCATGTTTCTTCAAAACAAAAGATGTTGGCTGTTGTTGTTTCCGTGGTCCTGTGTCAATGTTTAACTCATGCAGGTTATCTTAGTTCAAATGTGATGAGGAAAGATGAGAACGGTACGATAATAAATTCAGTTTAGACTGAAATCAATAGACAATGACAAGAGGGAAACCGGATAAGTGACTATATAGAGAAACTTCTACTTTCTTTGTTAACAACGCAAAATATAATGCCATCTCTCCCGGCCAGTTTAACGAGGACCGATTTTGAATTACAAACGATCCAGCACATTGTACATGTGTGATATATCCCGAAAAACAAAGCTTGATAAATCTATTTTCTAATTTGCATCCAAACTCAAATAGACTGCCCTCAGCAGAACGACATTCAGGTATTTTGTGTTAAAAAAGGTTTACAATACTGAGAAACCCGTTACGGTACTTTATTTGCTATACTAGAAGTTACTATCGCAAGGAAAGTGCTGCCTTACGACGAAAGCCCTGGGAATTTACTATACCAGTAAACATCATTTATTGCCTTATACACACTGTATGTACGACTTTATTTTGTTTAAAAAAATCGAAATTACAACATGCAATAATTACTATATACTGTGCAGTATATTTGGTACAAATGTTTTAAAGCGTCTTCACAGCTGAACAATAATATTAATTTTCAGTTAAACCATACAATTCAGCAGATCACTACTGGTCTTTAACAAAGATTGAAAAGAGAAAAGACAAAATTGTGAAAGATGAATGTGGAAAAAGAAACGCTAGAGTTTCTGATGGTGTAACGACGAAAAATGATATTGAGCTGGGTAGAGTGGTGTCATTACACACAAAGCGTGATTACCTGATAATGACGCCGCTAAAGTCCAGATGTATTAGTGATCCCTTTTACTGTAAACAAGGAATTACCATTGAGTTATGGTTAAAGTTTCGCAGAGGTGTGTATTTAGTTTAATTTTGAATTCATATCAATGTCCTGAATAGATCTTATATATATAATCAATAACACAAGGACCTAACCGTGTTGTCGTACTAGTGGCTACTACCATGTATCAAAATCCAATAAAAACAAAAATGATCCCAATTCCATGAAGCAACACAGCTATCACGCAATGAAATTCTAATTTCAGGAGAATACATTCTCAGTTCAGGTGGTTATACAAAACGCCTTGTTGGTCCTGGTTTTCTACTTCAATATAACTCTAAAATCCATCGCTTACAATTCCTGCTATCTACGAGGTCTCGGCTCTGGTCAATCCAATTCAATGCGAAAAAATCAACTTGGGTACATTTGTTGTTTGCCTGGGAAAGAACGCAGGGTCTCGTTGTTTATGAAAATGGTGAATTTCTAACGAAAGATGAAACGGGCGATAATGTTCGCTACCCAAGTTTTGTAAATAAATATCGAACACTAGCAGTTGGCGATCCAGGTATCTTTATAAAATTGAGATCAGGAGGTCGTTTCGAGATCGGTCATTTGGTAATATGGACTAGACGTCTTCTTCCTCAAGAAATTAAACTGAAAGCATTTATGGCAGTTGTTAAACAAGACTCGACGTCCAGACAATGCTGCAGGAAAAAATCTAGTAAGTTTTCAGCAATACTATATATATATCAAAATATATGGTTATTGGTTGACGGTTATTTTTATTTTTCTATAAGACGATCCTTGCACTGCCGACGGATGTTTTTATGATGAAGCTCGCTGCAACAATATTGGTCAAAAGTATCCTTGCATATGTTCCGCTATCAAAGAAAACAAAACATGTCCAAATGGTAAGCACTGAGTCCAGCCGCTGCGTATTCACCCAAGCTTTTCACGACATCAAACTTTATGATAAAATATGTTGTTGATGCATTTACAAACCAACATTTGATAATTATATAGGCGTAAGATTTCAACGATCGTGTCATGACATTGCCAACGATTGCTCAACGCTGGCAAGACAACCGAATTACTGCGACTTCTATGTCAAAGAAATGAGGGCAAGCTGTGCGAAATCTTGCAACTTTTGCAGTAAGTAAAATAGAAAATGATCTACTATATATTCCCGGTTATAGGTTCGAATTAGGATACAGCATTCATCAAGTAAAGAATCGTTGTGTTAGTTTTAACTGTGCACGAGCACTCCATCACAAAAATGATCTATCCTTGTTTAATTAATGGATACACCTTTGCGGTGTCCATCGAGTAAGTAAGGGGTGCTAATCATCCTTACTCGCAGCTCTGAGAGCTGCAATCATACTTAACTGCGAAGGACACAGCTCTATACCTGATCGAGTCGAAGGGTGTTTTCTATGTCAAGTGTTTGATTTTGAATGACAAGTTTTCAAAAGCCTAGGAGACGTGTCATTTCTATCATTTCTTCCCCAGGTCCAACCGTTGCTCTCTCGTCCAATGTAGAAGATGAAGATTCAAAAATTATAATTGTGGCGATTGCAGTTGGGGTTACCTGTGTCTTAATGTTACTTATTATGATCGCGGTTGTAATGGCAAGAATGAATAGGTAAGACCACGGAACTTTAAAGACAACTGGATGCCTATGCTTCGGTCAGAATGTAGCCATTTTAATACTGACGTCATTACAAAATTTCGTCCAAACTTTAAGACGAAGAGAAAACTACATCATATTGATCTAAAGCAATATTTCTGATATATATAACTAATGAAATAGTTCAAGGGTTTCATTCTCTTATTTTTGTTTAGTAAATGGCAAGGAGAATTTGTTCCAGGGAATAATCTCAGTGGTAGCATAACCGCTGACCCCAACACACAAGAAATGATCGCAGCTTCAGTGGATCCAGCAGCGAGAATAACAGACGTTCCTTTCAAGTCACCAAAGGTGAAGAAAACTACCAAGGTGAGCAGAGTGGAACACGCCATGACGTCATAACTCGCGCTCAAGATATTAATGATTCTCGGGATCTTTACGTTCGGAAGAGTAATCCTTGTTGATTAAAAACACGAAGTGAAGTCCGCAAATCTACAAACGCAATAAGAGATGTCATGGTGTGACATAATGTAAGCAGCATCTTGTTGGAGAAGGACATTTGATGTAATAGTTTACTTGATGATGATGATAACAATCTTTATTCAGGAGGCATTCTCACAGAAGTGATTTTCAGAATGGTCTTGTATATACTTGCAATATAATAGTGTTCAGGCTTTCAAATAGCAGCCGGTAATTGTTTTAAATCCACAGGTCCTTGCCGGCCATTTTAAGTCAAACTTAAGACTTAAAATGGCCGTCTTAATACTTAATACTTAAAACTTTTCATTCATGTGTTTAATATTATAACTGAAACAGAGGGTGTTCTTTGTACTCGAAAAACGTTGTTTTGGCCTAAAAACATTCAGGAATGCGACACATTTGACATTTCAGGAATGGCGAAGTTTAATAATTGGTCGGCTGCTTGGAAAGTGTCCTGGAATTTACATATTATTCTTTTTCAATTAATCATGACATTAAATGTCAAATTATTTTTGTTGGTAAAACCGTAATTGGTATCATATGCATTTGGTATCGTATAATAGCACCGACTGCGAGTGCACTATTGGGTCAATGTGTAGTTCATTTAACGTTAAGGTGCTCCACAGAGTCAGACAACAATACCACCAAAGTTAACAAATAATTTTTGCACAAAAATAAGTGCATTTGATTTTGTACTTTTCACGTTGTAATTATATGACGTTAATAAAGTGCAGTGCCTGTGTCCAGATTGTAAATTACAGTAACTTTACTCATGTACTTTGAAAACGGCCGAAAAACAGCCTACAAAATTAATAGAATAGCTTTTAAAGAAGACAAATTTAAAGCTTTACATTTACAGCAGTGTAGAGAAGAAAAAAAGAGGAAAAAATTACAGTCTTTTGATATTTGTATTGCCGATGTTTTACTGAAACGTGATTGGATATGGACTATCATAACACAAATATGGACAACGTACCTCAAATGTGGAGTTATGATGCAACTTGGCTTTCACGTCTGTTAAAACTGGTTTACCATCGATAAATATTGGTCGTCGACCTTCATTCACCACATAATATTCTCCATCGGGCTTCAAACGGATCACAGCCTGTTGGAAAATCACTTGTAAGTCACTAGCATTGAATAATTAAGCGGTTACTTATAAGGCCAGCAGTTCTCGCTTGAAATAAAAAATGGCTGTCACCGTCCACAACGGCTCGATTGAATACCGGTCGGCGTTTTTTAATCGAAAACGTCACTATATATACACACATGTACATTGAGAGAACATCGATGCTTTAAGTCAAATGAAAACGTCTTCGAAGCCCTATTTTAACGAAGTCATATCGCGTTTTGTGTCATGTATTACTTGTTTGGAATTAATACACTGAAATTTCACTCTACGCGCTCACCTGTTTTCTTGAGACTTTACAAGCTGGGCCTTCCAAAGACAAGTCCACATCGACAGTGTTGTCTTTTGTTGATCTGCCCACTGTGATCTAAAAAATAAAATTTATCACTGGAGCAGCAAATCACTAGCCGTTCTATATCTGAACCGTCCAAAATTCTTACCTCTCTAGAACGCATTAAATATCGCACCAGCCTTCCTCTTAAAACAGCCAATGTCTGAGAATCAAATTCAGTTGGAGCAGTACCAGCCTCGTTCAGACTGTCAACTATTGCTTGCCATCTAGGAATTTCTTCTTCCAACTGTCGAATTTCACGTTTTGCTCTGCGATCTGCAAGACTCAGTTCGTGTTCCAATATCTCGTCTCTGGGAACCCTAGAATGGACCACTTTTTATTAATACCTTAATCAACAATTGAATAATTTCCAGAATTCCTGGGAGAACCTCTGTATAATAATAAGTTATAAACTTACGTTAATTCTGAATCTTTCACTTGCTCTTCGAAGTCAGAAAATGTAGCTGTTGCACTCCCCAGTGCTAGAACTGAAACAACAATCATTGCACATCAAAACTATTCCTGGAGAAGATCAGTGGTGGTCAATGTTCATATAAAAGAGTCCAACACTTTCATTCTGTTGGATTTGCTGTGTTGGTGTTGTGTACTCAGGTGAATATGATGTTTGACTGTTTGTGATGTTACTCTGAGTGTATATCCACACTGACAAGCTTGAAAAATATGCCTGTCCATGGTGGGAATCGAAGCTATGACCTTTGGACAGGCATATTTTTCAAGCTTGCCCTGTGTGAATATACACTCAGAGTAACATCACAAACATCATATTCACCTGAGTACACAACACCAACACAGCAAAATCATGATTACTCATATTGTTATCAAGGAAGATACCTGTCTGGTCGTCAAGCAGTTGATAATGTTTCATCTGAAGCCAATGTTGCATTATAGACTTGGCTGTTCTATAAGGATGAAACGTCATCGGATTTTCATCCAGTAAATGTTGAAAATATTCGACAGCTGCTGTTGTAGTCTACATATATTCACAATGAAAGAAACATTAATTAAGCAAGACATTTTCAGCAACATCTTCTCCCTGGGGGAAATGAACAAAAAGTTTGACCGAGATATAAATTTTGCTCAGACTGATAAAAGTTTATTTCATGATAAACTTCTTATGAGATGCAGGTGTTCTAGGACATGTTCATAATATCTCACGCAGCAGTTATTAATTACATTTCTACCAAGAGAAATTTCTTTGAGTAACATACCGCAGAGGTTTTGGCCAGAAGAGCTTCCTCCTCTCTGCCCCATAATGTACTGCTTTGAATCTGCAGAACAATGTCAGCAGGTAGCTGTTTCATGCCAAATGATGCCAACCTAGACAAAAAAATATTTCTCATTAATGACTCCTCACCAGCAGGAAAAAGAAGAAAGCCTCAAAAACTATATACTAGACATATAGCATTCCAGTCTCACAGGAAAACAAACCATTGAGTTTCATGGTATACAAAACCAAATTATGGTATCCTGTACATATTGGGATACTGCAAATTCAGAGCATGCGGTATTAATAAAGTAAGTCAATACAGTACTAGCTATACCTTGACACTACTGGATCATACAGCAATGCATACCATCTATCTTGTACTTCACTTAATGTGAATCTGCATGAGAACTTGCAACCAATGCGCACTGCATTCAAGTCGTTGGTCTATAAAATAGTCATTCATTTAAATGCTGACACAACAAGCTATTGATTTCAGTGATTTAGAGGGAGGTTGACAGAGTAAAACAATCACCTGAAGAACAGCTGTTATAAGTGTAAGATCATCCGCTGGGCGCCACCTTCCAACATCTTTCAATGGAGTTGTATTACCCTACAGTAAATGGTGATATGAATTCCTTCCAGGGTTCGAATTAAATATTTAAAAGTGAAAAGCAAATTTCTACCCATTGACTCGTGCAATAAAAAGTGAATAGCAAATTTCTACTAAGTGATTACTGTGTTGCATATACAGTAAAAAAGGATTAAGCATTCGATCTTCAACCAGAAAGGCTGTTATAATTAGAAAGATTAAATTAAGTAGTCTTTATTTTTTGGTAGTTGTGTAAGATTAACAAGACAGAAAAGTGAGAAAATGACGATGTAAAATTAAATGATTCCAATTATCACCCGTAAAAATTCGTGCAAAATCTAAAAGAGTTAAAACGGGTGATTGTAGCTATAAACTAAATTTTGATCAAGGCAAGAAGAACGAAATGCAACAGCACAGCTGGAAAGAGCATTTTAGAATGAGTAAAACTGCAAAGATTGGTTGCTAAATGTTGTAAAATGAAGAAAATATAGCCCTGTGAAGTTCGCAGATGTTGTATATATTTGTCAGTACACACAGTAAAAATAACCACTTTTGGCTCAAAAATGGTTATTTTTCCCGCATGTAATGCGAATATATATAAAATGTTGCGAACTTCACAGGGCTATATTTTCCTCATTTTACAACAATTCGCAACCAAACTTTGCAATTTTACTCATCCTAAGATGCTCTTTCCAGCTGTGGTAATGGTTTCGTTCTTGTCTAGATCAAAATTTCGTCTAGAGCTGAAATCATTTTGACTTTCATTAAAAGGCATTTATTCAAAGTTAGAGCAAATTAAAGTACAAACAAAATACTGTACATAAAGTAAATATGGCAAAGCTCAGAAGCAAAACATTTAACTTGCGTACATCGCATATTCTGACACATTATGAATTAAACTAGAAAGTTATTGAACAGTGAGTTAGTTGATTCGGGTTTTAAACCCAAGTGATTGTGAAATTCAAATCTGATTATATAGTTGTGTGAACAAGTAACATGACATTTGACCTTTCCTAAGTGGATTTTGACACAATTTTACACTGTCAGCCTATCATATTAAAACATTAAACCAAAACACAGCTTGAGGCCATTAGGAAACACAACAGAATTCTGTTGTCTATTCAGAAATATCAGCGCAAATGAGAGAATGTTTTGCCTCAAAATACACAAAGAATTGTTTGAAAACGAACGCTTCCAATGTTATCCGTTTTTCTTTTTCACATGTGAAATCTTCTCAGGTTGAATAGTGATTTTTTTATATTACTGTATAGCAAAATGAGTAGCGAAATCCCAAAAACGGATAGCGAATCGCGAATCGCTATCTGTTAATTCAAACCCTGATTCCTTCAAAGTAAAAGTTTATTTCACTACCTTTCTTTAATGAGAGCAGTTTAGACAACAGTGAATGAGTGGTCTAGAATTAATTTCCCTAAAAACTGACCTTATTTTTCTTTTGTTTCTTATTCAAAGGTGGGCCAATAGCACCTGGAGGTTTGCTCACAAACTAAAATATATTGATGAAATAGTATATTCAGCTTTGATGAATTCATTATCTAAATCAATATTATTACTTAAGCCAAACCTTTTTGAACTTTTCCTTGCCTTCTAGAACTTCTGGTAGACCCAAAGTTTTGCCAGGATTTTTTAAACTGCTTTCCACTAATTCATCATCAAACTTTTTTCTCTTTATTGACCTTGAAGAACTTCTCCTTGGCGTTGAACGTCCAGATGCCTTACCAAAATGAACACCTTTCATTTGACTTAGAGCAATCGCTGACTTGGTATTTACTCCTAAATAATAACACAACGGCAGTTGACTTAGAGCAATCGCTGACTTGGTATTTACTCCTAAATAATAACACAACGGCAGTTGACTTAGAGCAATCGCTGACTTGGTATTTACTCCTAAATAATAACACAACGGCAGTTGACTTAGAGCAATCGCTGACTTGGTATTTACTCCTAAATAATAACACAACGGCAGTTGACTTAGAGCAATCGCTGACTTGGTATTTACTCCTAAATAATAACACAACGGCAGTTGACTTAGAGCAATCGCTGACTTGGTATTTACTCCTAAATAATAACACAACGGCAGTTGACTTAGAGCAATCGCTGACTTGGTATTTACTCCTAAATAATAACACAACGGCAGTTGACTTAGAGCAATCGCTGACTTGGTATTTACTCCTAAATAATAACACAACGGCAGTTGACTTAGAGCAATCGCTGACTTGGTATTTACTCCTAAATAATAACACAACGGCAGTTGACTTAGAGCAATCGCTGACTTGGTATTTACTCCTAAATAATAACACAACGGCAGTTGACTTAGAGCAATCGCTGACTTGGTATTTACTCCTAAATGATAACACAATGCCAGTTGACTTAGAGCAATTATTTACTCCCTACCGACGATGCTCATTAGTCTGCTAGCAAATTGAGTAATGAGAATATTTTGTCTTTTAGGGTATCATAATTGCATCATATCATCATTAGCCTGCGAACAGGCTCTCAAGCTCAATTGAGAGCCTGCATCGATGATTAATGAATTTGAATATCTGCCCCGTAACGTTCGTTTTTCCAAATATGGAATGTCTATCCTTATATGGTGTTTCATATTAATCTGACACTGCAATCGAGCAACGAAAAATTTGTTGGCTCGAGCGGGATTTGAACTCGCATCTTCGGGTATCTAGACCGCCGCTCTACCTATTGAGCTATCGAGTCAACAGGGATTGGTAGCGAGTCTTATCCAATTTAAGTGCACGAAATATTTTCGCGACGACTTAACGCTTGTCTTTGAGGACGCGCAGTGTTTCAATTCTATTTCAGAACCATCCTCAGAGATAGGAAAACTAGTTTCATATTAATCTGACACTGCAATCGAGCAACGAAAAATTCGTTGGCTCGAGCGGGATTTGAACTCGCATCTACGGGTATCTAGACCGCCGCTCTACCTATTGAGCTATCGAGTCAACAGGGATTGGTAGCGAGTCTTATCCAATTTAAGTGCACGAAATATTTTCGTGACGACTTAACGCTTGTCTTTGAGGACGCGCAGTGTTTCAATTCTATTTCAGAACCATCCTCAGAGATAGGAAAACTAGTTTCATATTAATCTGACACTGCAATCGAGCAACGAAAAATTCGTTGGCTCGAGAGGGATTTGAACTCGCATCTTCGGGTATCTAGACCGCCGCTCTACCTATTGAGCTATCGAGTCAACAGGGATTGGTAGCGAGTCT